CTGGGCGGGGTAGCTTCTGGCGCTGGCAGGGCGGGCTCCGCTCAAACATGGGCAGGCTGCGGGCTGGAATCACTGCCTCCGACATGCCACCCAACCCCCACCCCCCGCCTTCTCTGCGGCCGATGGGTCACAGAGGCGAAGGTCTCCGCTCGGGCTCGGCGCGCTTGACTCCGCTGGAATGCCTGGCGGGGGTGAGGGCTGGGGCTGCAGCTGCGGCGGCAGCGCCTTCACGCGCGGCTTCCACCCCTGGATGCTCTTGCTGGAGTTCGGGCACTTGGGGCGCGGCCGCGCGCCGCCGTTGCGCGGCTGCTGCAGGCTGTCGAAGCTGCTCTGGTCCACCATCTTCACCTCGCCGTAGCCCCAGCCATAGTCGCTCTCCGCCCACTTGGCGTAGCAGTCCTCGAAGCCGTCGATCTGGAGCCTCGTGTAGTCCAACCTCCACGGGCAATGCCCTCTGCGGATCCTACTCTGGTTGCCACGAATGCTTTCGACGCCGCGGCAGTGCTCGGTGGCCTCGCTGACTCGTCGGGCTGCTGCCTGAGGAGCTCCGCCACGTGGGTGCGCTCGATCTCCTCGCCTTGGTCCGGGCTCTTGCTGGCAACGACCTTCGTCAATCTCATCGCGATGCGCCCATGCTGTTTGTGACGGCCGCAGAGCACCATCTGGTCGTGCGGGGCGACGTCGTCGCACTCAACGCTGGTGCTCTGCAGCGTCTTGTGGCAAGTCCCCGCGCTGTACTGCGCAGTTCCGAAGACTCGGTCGCTTGGCCAGCTGCCGCGCTCAGCTGGTTTCTGAATCGCCACCTGTTCCGTCGCCATCGCCGCCTCCTGCGCCGGCGCAGGGGGCTCGTCCGCCGCGGCCGCTGCCGCCCAGGCTGCTGGGCAGCGCTGCTGCGCCGCGCCAACTGGCCGCCGTTGTCGGCAGTGGCTCCAACTGGCCTCGCGCGTGGGAAGATGCCGCAAGGCTCGGATCGAGTCGATGGGAGACAAACCCGGGTGGCGTTGGAGTCGGAGCCTGACGCCATGTTTCTGGCCTAGCCCGGTTGCTTCCTGTGCTTGGGGAACAAGACATAGTAGGAGAGCGCGGGCTTAGGTCATTCGCTGCGTCGGTAAATGTGGGAGAAGGCGAGGGGCCAAGATGAAGCTGGAAGTCCTGGTCGGCCCAGCTCCTGGTACCGAATGTCCTGGTTTGGTCCCGGTTCGGCTTTTCCCTTTTTTCGTAGTGGGCGGTCCCTATGAAGCCCTTGATGTTCCCCTCTGGTGGGCGGGGTCGGTAATCGCCGATGTCGGTCCGCAGTCGTCGCACTGGCGGGTTCCAGACGTAGTAGGTCCACCCGTACTCGTACGCATCCTGCTGTCGCGAGGTCCTCATGCCAGTCCTGCACCTGAGGCCGATGTGCCCAGTGATGGAAGTAGTAGTGTGGGGTGTGGGGGGGTATGGACCGTAAATGTGACAGCAGGTTGGTGGATAGCGTGGCCAACCCTATCTCATCGTTGTTCCATGGCCTGATCATATTCCTTGGAGCGTTGTTCCCGGCATGATGTAGCCATGCGTAATATTTCCGCCATGTGGCCCCCAAATCGTAACGCTTTGTCCCGTAGTATCGCATATCGCTCGGGGCCGCTGCTGATCTGCATCGCTAAGGGGTCACTCGCTGGATGGCCTTGGCCCCGTTGATCCTGAGGGGGCGCTCGCGGGCCCGCAACTGCTGGCGGCTGAGGGCTGCTGGGCGTCTCTAGTGGCTGGCTCACTGTCCGCGACGCCTGCTGCGCTGGGCCTCGACTACCCTCTCTGAGCCCGTCTTCGGGCCTCCTGAGCGGCTCTTCCTGGCGCCCACGAGCGCGAGCGCCAGCCCCAAGGCCTGCTTGAACAGATTCCCTTTGAAGCCTAGGATCCTCTCGCGCACGGCCCGGTCTAGGTTCTGCTCGTACAGTGCCGCCCTGAACGACGGATGGCGACGTATTGATCGCGTGAATGACCTCTGCCCTGCGCTGCTCCGTTTCCATCTCCTCCTCCAGCGGCTTGTGCGCCTCCGGAGCCTTGCGCTGCAGGAAGACTGCCGTCACGAACGTTGGGCCCCATGGCTGCCCCAGCTGCTCCATGAACTCCGTGAGAGTCTTGGCCACGTGCTGCATCGGCTGGTCGTTGTCCTGCACCGTGGCTTTGAGCGCGCCCAGTATCCCTTTCACGAAGGCCGCTGCGACGTGGCCGCGAGAAGGACCGTATCCGTGGCCCTTGCCCTTCGCCTTCACCTTCCTGCCGTACTCGCGGCCTGTCTCTATTGGGGACTGGATCCACTCTTCCGCGAGGAGGGCCAGCCAAAACTCGCTGGTGAGGTGGGAGAGGTTGCGGATCTCTGCTGAGTTCTGCAGGGCCGGCCGCTGTAGTGCACCTATGCTGTCTCGCAAGTCTGCTTGCATTCCCTCTTCTCCCCCACCTGGGCCTCCGCCTCCTCCTGGTGGTCCGCAACCTCGTCCTCCTCCTAGGGCTCCTGGTTGGG